AGACAAACTAATAATTAAACATAAAGCAGCAAGGTAAGAACAACATGCATCAATAACTGTTAAAACAAACTATCTGATGTATTATATTATTATTATTATATTACTAAGAACAACTGGTTTTTTTTTTTTATGTGGTGGAGATTGGAGACAAAACATGTACTGGAAGCATCCTGTGGGGGTGCTGTTTCCATTCAGCTTCAACTTCTGGGATCATGTGGGATCTATTATAATATACAAAAAGCCCAACTCTCATCCTTCCATCATCTTTACCTGCTTTTTCTGTCACGGATGTAACTGGTGCCCATGTCTAGCCATCACTATTAATCCACTTTTCAATTCAGTTTATTTAAATAGTGCCAAGTCACAACAGAAGTCATCTCAAAACTATAATTTAACATTATTTATCTGAGGAGCAGACTGCTTTGAGTTTAATTCCATCACAGAACTCTCATCTTGAGCAAGCACAAAGGTGACAGTGGAAAGAAAAAACTCCCTTGTGACGAAGAAACCTTTAGCAGAACCAGGCTCAGGACAAGTGGACATCTGCTTCGACCGGCTGGGCTGGAGAGGAACAGATACACAATGGCAGGTCAAGAATGACATGTTTAGATAGAATTAGCATCAAATGGAAACTATTAAATTTTACAATTCATTTAAGGAAATGAGGTCAATTTGTCCTCCAGTAGTCTAAGCCTATAGCATCATGACAAGCCAACCCTAATTAAAGGATTTATCAAAAAGGAAAGTCTTAATCCCAGTCTTAAAACTGGACAATGTGTCAGATTCATGGACAGAAACTGGAAGTTGGTTCCACAAGAGAGGAGCCTGATAACTGAAAGATTTGCCTCCCATTCTGCTTTTGGAAACTCTAGGGACCACAAATAAACCTGCAGTCTGAGAGCAAAGTGCTCTGTTAGGAAAATATGGAACAATAAGATATTGGATATAAGATGGAGCTAGGTTGTTGAGAGCTTTGTAGGTTAGAAGTAAGAGTTTGAATTAAATTCTGTATTTGACAGGGAGCCAGTGGAGAGAAGCTAAAACTGGAGATATGATCTCTCCTACTAACTCCAGTTAAGACTCTGGCAGCAGCATTTTGGATCAAGCGAAGACATTTTAAAGAAGTATTTGGACATCCAGATAATAAACCATTTCAATAGTCCAGACTAGATGGGACAAATGCATGAACCCGTTTTTTTTTATTTATTTTTTTTTTACATTTTTAGATAAGATGTTTCTAATGTTATTGATATTACGCAGGTGGAAGAAGACTGTTCTAGTAACTTTTTTAATTTGGGGGATAAAAGACATGTCCTGATCAAAAATAACACCAAGATTTTTAACATTAGAACTGGAGGACAGATTAATCACATATAAGGAGGGAGAAAGACTGAAAAATGTATTCCTAAGACGCTCAGGTCCAAAAACTAAAACATCAGTCTTGTCTGTGTTCATAAGCAGAACAGTTAGGGTCATCCAGGTTTTTATGTCTTTAAGACATGCTTGTAGTCTAAGTAGCTGATTTGATTCATTGAGTTTAATGGACAAATATAATTGTGTATCATCAGCATAACAATGAAAATGTATCCCATGCTGTTTAATAACATTACCTAATGGAAGTATATATAAAGTAAAGAGTATTTGTCCAACTGAACCCCGATGAACTCCATGACTAACTTTGGTTTATGAAGAAGTTTCATTATTTACATTTACAAATTGGAATCTATCAGATAGATTTGATTTAGACCAATTTAGAGTTGTTCCTGTAATCCCAATATAATATTAAAATCTTTGTAATATAATATTGTGATCAACTGTATCAAATGCAGCTCTGAGGTCTATCAGGACAAGTGTAGACAGCATTTTGGCATGACGGTCTCAGAGGAGTTAACAGGGGAGAGGGTGGGCCCTGGAGGCCATCATAGCACCAAGAAACAGTTTTTTTTTCCCCCACTCTGGAGTATGCTGTTTGTTGGAATCGATTGTGTTTGTTGGTGACTCCTCAGATCAAAGAAGTCCTTTGGATGATGGA